AATGTTGTTGAATTAGATTGAAAAAAGTTTCATTAAAATTTCTAATTCCTGATAAAATAAGGTGCGACAAAACTATAAGACATGTATATTTTAAGTAAGAAAAAGTGGCTGGAAGGTAATGAAAATAAATGTTTTTCTATTTATTAATAATGTGTTGTGCCACCTTTATTTTTATAGTTTGAATTAATTGTTGTGGTATCGATTTATATAAATTTTTTATTTGATCTTGATTTAATTTGACCCATTGTTCTTCAATACAAGCTTTCAACTGTTCCACCGACAAAGACTCTCATTTCCATATACAGCACGTGCTAAAATTTCCCAAATGTTTTCTATTATATGTATTTAAATCTGGAGACCTCGCAGGCCATGGTAAGATTTATATATTATGGTCTTCAAAATATTTTTTTACACGTTTTGCTGTATGTACAACAGCATTATCATGCTGAAAAATATAATTTTCACATGCAATAGTGCTGGCATGTCGCGGTAATTGTTCTTCTAATATTTCTATATATTTAATAGCATTCATGCTGGTGTTAATAAATTTTGTATCGATTCTCCTGTGGTACCTTATTGTGGCCCATACCATGATACCGCCTCCTCCAATTTGCCTCCTTGACAAATTCAATTCTCCCTTCCGCAAATCATGAAAATACTATAAAATACCGCCCGGTCCATCTACATTGAAACGCTTTTCATCCGAAAACATAACTTTTCTCCACATTTTTTTCCACTGGAGATGTCTTTCCACAAAATTATTTCTGGCTGCTTTGTGTCGATTCGTAAGTGGCGGTTTTTTCTGCAATTTTCATCTTTTTAAATGCTTGGCTCGTTTAATTATCCGTTGCACATTACGATTATTGGTAGGAACGCCAGCTTTCTCTGCAATTTGCCGCGCTGTCGAGCTAGAATTCGACGCTATCCTCAGAATGGCTCGTCGTTGTCGCTCGGTCGTCGTTTTTGGACGCCCATCAGGATGTTTTTTTCCATAATTCTCTCTACTTTTTAAATAATTGAGCACGATATATCGATTTCACCCAATCACTCTTGAAATTTCTGAAATAGAAGTATTCTTTTCTTTTAAATTTACGATCACTCTTATTTCATTGTCTGTCAGCTTTTTCCCACGCAACATTGTAGTTATATTATGTAAGAACAAAATTACAAATGTTTAATTTTAAGTACACAATTACTTTTAACACTGTGACTACGATTACAGCATAAGATCGACTGACGAAAAGTTACTATCTTATAGTTTTGTAGAATATAGTTCTATGTAACGTAAACAATAACACTATAAATGAAGGAAGACTAAAGTCAAGACTTACACAGAATTTTCATCGAATTTCGTACATGTCTTATAGTTTTGTCACGGAGTGTATTTTATGTAAAACAGAATTATGGTTTTGCTTTTGCCTTCAAGCTATTAACAGTTTCAACCTGCTACTAGTACTTGTGTCGAATCTCAGTCTTGTTTCTTATATGCTACGCCACTGTACGCATTAAACTGTCTCACACAAGTTACCATTAGCAGGTCGTTATAGTTTAAAGAGGTATGTATTTTTTAGAAATTTTGTAAATAAAATTGATCTTTTAATTTCATTGTTTTTGTAAATATTTTGAAATATTTATTATACTTGGTTAAATATCTTATACAATATATCTACACAATTTGGTTTTGAAACATAATACCTGTCTGCCGCGTACCTCGCGCAAACAGGCCCCCCAATAAACACATAAAACTTAACGTTTAATTTCATCCGCAGTCTTGGAGAAACTAAAGTAATTCTCCTTCAAGACAAACAATCTGCCGGCGCAGACTCGACGATGAACCTTTCGAAGTATACCTTTATGATTCCTACGGAACCTTTAAAGGAAAACCGTACCCAAATTAGAGAAGACGGCTGACGATCTGCACAACGAATAATGTTCGGTATGCAAGTCGCCAGCATGTCAAGACACGCTCATTGTCCGTTCGCGTAAAGATATCACGCCTTAAGATGCGTTTGCGGTCAGTGTCAACAATGCACGAGGTTGTAAGTTTCGACTTCGACTAGAGTCGCACCGTAAGTTTGAACGATTCTCCCTATGACCGATTAAGGAGATAAGGAGTGATTGTTGATGTTAGTGGAACCAGTGATGAAGACGTTGGGTTTGAACTATTAACAATATATTTAACAGAACACTTAATTATTAACACTTGTTGAATGATGCGAATGATTGGATGTACGTGTGAGCGAGTGTGGGCGTAATGACGAGATACCGGCTCTCGTGAAGACAGATATCCCGGAGTCTAATAGGAGGTGTTCTCCTTAGTGTGCATGAATTTAGACTGACTTCTGCAAGTGTTTCCCGAGAGTAGGAAACCTTGGAATTCGGATAGTTTCTTTTTTATTGATCGTGTTATCTGGACCAATCAAATATAAAATTCCTGACCCCGACTTATTCTGAGTAGGTGATATCTAAGTGATATCTTCACGCGAACGAACAATACCATTAAAATCAGATCTACCCATAAGACTATTGCCTCTATGAACAGCATGTCCCAATGCTATTTGAAATTTCACGTGTAAAATTTGTTCATTGTTCCAGCAGCATAATATTCATTTCTGTTAAAATAAAGTATTTTCTTAAATCAGCTTTATTTAATGGTTATAAGTGGATGATTATTTAATAAATAATATCAAGAGAAATAAATATTTTGAAACAGATAAATTTAATTTTAACCAATTTAGAGAGACGCAAAAATGATACCAAACAAAACAAAAATCTTATCGATTCACAAAACAAACAATGAATGTTCTGAAGTTCGGCGCGCGGTTTTGAATATATCTAACAGTTTCTTCCATATCGTGTTTTAAAACTAGCATACGGATACCCCTTGCCATATGATTTATTTCTCAACTATGATTGATACAACTACTTTTCCATTAATAATTTGTTGAAGAAAGAGAAAAATTCTAGGCATATCGTATGTCTATGTTTGCTCTAAAGTATAATTATTGATGAGAGAAGAATAATATTTAATTTGAACTCAAAAGGATTGAGTAATATTTATCTTTGTTAAATTCTCTTGAATGTCATCACCGCGAGTCTGACACGTTGTTATAAGGCAAGGGCTTAACACTAGGTTTTCGGAACGCGTCAATTTGACGTACATTGAATTTTAAACATATTATTTAGTAAACGTTTATGTCGATTTTGATTGTTTGCAATAAGGCAAATGAGTATTTTAATTGCATATCTTTGAACCTCTAATTTTCAAAATATAAATGAACGAACAATAATTTTCCTAAGACCAATAGAATAAACTATACAATAAACTTCCGCAAATCTAGTATTAAGGAGCTATCTTATATAAAATTCCATTACCAGTGACAATCACTATGTTCAGAAACAACTAAAGACATGTTGGGTCAAAGTGAGAGTGATTCGAATTACAGATTAGTAATATTCGTATATGTATAGAACATCGAAAGTTATAAACTAATAAATGATAATATAAAACAAAAATTCATAAAATCAAGCGTACTACAAAAAAGTAATTTACCGTATCTACGTTAAAAGTATATGTTATTGTATTATAGTTGCATATATTATCTATTTTCAATGTATATTATGTTAATAAATTTTTAATTTGACCCAAAATTGAAATTTATCTGAAAGCTGTTACAACTTATTTTAAATTCGATGGAAAGGTGATTTGCATAATAACCATCTCAATTTTGTATTCGTGTGGTGGGAGGCCAAAGTGTTAACAATTAACGCGTTGACAGTTAGGGGAGGCGCGGCATCATTATATTAAAATCTGACGAGTAGCTCGTCGGGGATATAAATTCGTTTATCTCTGACCTATATTAGCATAAGGAGCAAGGGTGCCGTGGAAATGCTAAAATTCGGCTGGGAGTTGCAAGATTTATGGTACTGTTGAAACTTTTAAAAGCAACTTTTCCACCTTTCCTATTGTACGTTGCTTTGACTTTTCTCAGGAGTCAAATTTTTAAAACTTTCTCCACTCCACTTTCACGATCTCTTCACTACGCCTTTATGGCTATTTTTCACCTCATATTTTTATTATAACGGTTAGCTGAAAAAAAGTGTTGCAAACTACTTTCTCCGACATCGTTATAAACATCAAGGTTTGGAATTATTCAATTTTTTTTATAAATATTGAAGATAGGTAGGTAATCGAATACTGGATTTGAATATTTCAGTTGAGTAATAACTATTCATTATATGCAGCGTATTAGTGTTTTTATTTATTCGAATGTAAATCAAATTAATTTTAAATGAGCAATCATTGCAAGGCTTTACAAAACTAATAATAGCCAATACAAACATGGCTTACACAGAGTGGATGACTAATTTATTAAATAATTTAGTAGATACTGATTAGATTATTTTTCAATAAAATGGATCAGAGAAGTATATTATTTTTCGATAAATTTTTCTAAAACGATTATTAGAGAAATGAATAGGGCCCTTTAATTCTTTTTAAGTTATTAGATTTACATTTTAAACTTCAACAATTTTAGATTTTGGGCGTAATAAAAACTGTTATTTGCTAATACATTTCATCTCAATCCATTTTATTGCAAAAATATTGTTTCTGTATTCAGTAAAGAAATTTGTAGTATTCGAAAAGTTAAACGACACTACATTCTTCTCGATAATGCGTATAACCGTACGTTTCCACAAATATCTGTTTCTACATGTTGCAATGCAGTCGATTGACATTAAAAGAACTTTTTCATAGAATAATTATTGTATTACACGATTGTCCAATATTTCGCAACCCGTTTCATTCGATAATACTTTGATGAAAGTCTATTTGTCAATTTGAACGAAGTAAAATTTGTCGAAAGCGTTTAAAACAATTGACAGCGTTGCTCAAGAATGATGACCAGGGCACCATTGATAAAACGTTATCAATCACGAATGACAGTAACGACCAACGAATCTCTGTATGCGTGGAACAATGAATATTCTGTACTCACTGTGTCATATATCATGTTGGTTAGTCACGAGAAAAAACGAACAATTGATACATCAGTAACATTGAGTAGTGCTCCAAGATGAGATGGAACGCACCGTGACGTAACACGCGTGTTGTGGAAATGAGCTTCGCCGACGTTCGTGTAGGAGCACTACATTCGCGCGTATGAATATGCTATCACATTGGAACTCGCATAGTTGGAGAGATAGCGGCCGTGTTCCATCGTTCATCTCAGTCGAGATAAATTAATTTGATTTCGCATCGTAACGCGACCTGAAAATTCTGGTCCGAAATTCTGCCGAACAAAAGGAGATTAAAATATTTGATTTCGCTCCCGTGAAATGGGTTTTTATCGATTTTCATATGGACACGCGAAACTGAAATTGAAATTGAAATCCCTCGAAATTTAAGCCCTGATAAACGATTGAACAGTCATATTGCCAATTCTGTATTTACGCTTTTGTGTATTAAAAAGAAGACTGACAATGATACATTGTCTGCTTCCTTCCGAACAGCGAATTTTCTTTGAAATAAATTTAACATTATATTGATTAAAGATTAACACGTTTGTTACCAATGTTTCTTTTGGCGACGATTTTCTTAATTGTAATATTCTATTCAATTCACCAGAGCTTCTAAATAAAATATTAAACAAATGGGGCTACACAAAGTTATTGAGTTCTTAAATATAATGCCGTATCTAATAGTTTTAAATAACAATATCTGTAGCATTCATTTTATTTTGTTTATGTATAATGTAAGGTTTTAGTCGTTAGGGATATATGACGTTAGTAGCGAATATATTAAAGATTTTAACTAATTTATATAATATTTGTAATCACTTTATACATTGTATTTGTATATTTATTGAACATCCATTGTTCTGAATATCTTGAGCAGCTAGCGTAAAAAAATACTATTTTGTATGTTTAAACGTATAAAAGTTCATTTATATAAAAATCGATATGATGATCTTGTTAGCAAAAAGTTAAAACATTTTCACATTTTTAAAAATTACAATTGCTTAAAAATAAAAATAAATTGTTTAAAAATACATCTCTTTCAAGTTTACAACCTCATTACTCGAATGATATTTCATATATGACCTATTAATGTGTTTCTTTATCAATCAAACCAATTAACGATTGACATTGCCTGTAGAAGTATATCGGAATGAATGAAAATTGAGATTGCTCGTTCATCTTCTAGCAATATAAGCAGACACATCGAAATATCACGAACAAACAGAGTTTCACAAAGTGATTGTTTGTTATACGTCAACCTGTTAAATTTGTCTAGTGAAAGCTTTACTATATTGTACAAACTGTGTAGGTTTAAAATAATAGAGAGATCAGAACATTTTCATTTGTTATTATTTGGAAAATCGCCTTGATATCGTTCGAGTTTAAAAAATATACAAATTAAAATATGTGACTTACAATTTATTTCATGAAATATTTGAACGTTTTGTTCTAGAACTAACGCATTTCATCTGTTAGTGAATAAACCTGAATGAATGCTTGTGGCTTTGTTATATTTTTACTATTACTTCCTGTTACTTTTTAATTATCCGAGTTTGAAAGCCAAATGCAAAAGACAGAAGGACAGAAATCTACTGTCTTCATTATATAATATTTTTTATTTAATAAAAAACAAACTATCGCGGATATTGGCATAGTTTTACTATTGATTATAAAAGGACACTTACTTTATATGGTACCTATGTAAAATTTAAAAAAAGGTCCTCATTATTGAATTATCGTGGCAACCATCGAAACTGAGCATATGTATATCAGAAAATATAAAATAGTTTAATAAATAATACAAACGTCTGTATAAACATTGCAGTATGTCATCTTGAAACATTACGAAACATGTTTATAAAATTATAAAATATTAATCTACCAATTTTTTACATTATAAATCGTTAAAATACGAATGAGAATACTTCGGTAACCCTTATACTGATAACCGTGTATATACCCAAGCACCCGTTTTAAAATTTCTTTTTACATAATTTTGTTCTTCACATGGAAGTTTAACAAAATTGCTTTGAATCTCCATTTTTCGAACATTTTTCCATCGATTTTTGCTTCGGAGGTAAAGAATTTACGCAAAAATATGGCATATGCAATGGTTACACTAAAATTCGGATAAACGCAGACATTTTGGTTGTCAACATAACTTTCAAATCATTTTTCCAATATTTATTTCGATAAATACATTTCAAACTGCTGAACGAATGGCTGCGCAAAATCCACCGGCAGCAGACGATAAAAAACACGGGACACCTAACTTGTGCTGTCGACACGCGGGAATATTTTGTCAAACGAACGATCGTCCAAGTGTTAAGTTCTCCAGAAATGTGGAGAGCTTGATGGAAAACCTACTCCACGCACTATATTCGTCAAATTAGAACCGGGATTTACGGGGAGCAGAAAGGGGGCAAAGGCCATTGGCATCGCGTCACGTTACGTGGATCGCGCCACGATAAATCCACTGTCACCGAAACCAACATTCACGCGGTTTGAGCAGCGGCGTTGCGAGCGTGTTCCCAGGTCGTCACTGATCGCTGGTAAATCATCCGGTTTTTCTGCTGATCGTGTGACAATGGCAACAATATTTCTCGTCAAACCGGAACCCCGCTATGAAATTCGATGCTTATCGATAACAAAAACGATGGTTTGCTTGGTTTGCAATGCATGGGTAAAACGCGGAAGCTATGCACGCTCCGATTTATCGTGCGAAGAGCCGTGTTGCAACTTCGTTCGATACGGCTGTTTGCGCGACAATTGTAACGTGTGCAGAGATTCGATTGTGTTTAACCGTTGTATCGTCCTGTTATAAAATCTGTTGTGTTACAAGTTGGATATACGGTGGATCTGACGCGCATTGTTGTGCGGCGACCAATTGCGACAATATCTGTTTCGTAACAAATGTATTAAATGGATCAGAATACGAGATACTGGTTTTCTAGCCATTTACAGGAGGAACCCAGTATATTTTTGTAGCAAAACAATATTTGAAACAATTGAACTGCTAATTAATACCAGTGACTACAACAGGGATTTTCAGCCTTTTGTATAATATTATTTATTCTTTCATAACGAAGGCAAATGGTATTAGAATTAACGATTAATGATTCGGTATTACGATTCTCAAGTTATAACATTACTTAATTATTCATGTAACTAAATATTTTGATTTGATATCAGTTTTCTTCTTGAAATTGTTTTTAAGAAATTTGAAAGCTTTTGTCATCGGCGACTACCGGGGCGATCAATGTGTTAATCCTTTCACACCCGGCGCACATTATAATATGTACTATTATAATATATACTTCAATATCTGACAAAGTATTAAAATTGTGATAGACAACCGTACATACACCTTTGATTTGAGTCTATTTCTATAAGAGAAATAGTATACTAATTACCACTACTTTATTCGAAATAATATTGTTACGAATGGTACACTGAATGGCGATTGTAAATAACGTTTTTGTTAGATATGTGAACATAATTTTGTACAAAAACCAGTCTGAAGGGATTAATAGAAACTCAAATAGATTTGATTGAAGGGAATTTATTTTGTGTAACAATTTATTGAGAATAAAACACTTTCGATTATACAATAAATAAATTGAAAATCAAACGGCACGAAAGGATCGTAAGCGTTTGTAGAATGTGCACATTTGCGAATGCGAAATTATGCTATTAGTCAGAGAGTTTGATTGACACAACAATTTCGCTGCAGGATGTTCGTCGATGACAGCAAATAAATAAGCGCAAAGCAAATAGAAAACCGGTGAAATTTTATGTCGGTATACGAGCGTACGTTTCGTATTGATACTGAAAATTAAACATCCGGCTACAGGATTAAATGAAGACTTATAATTTTGCGAGTCATGAACCAAAATATTGAATTGTTTATATCAGTAGACATTTTTCAACTACCCTTTGAATTTATCATTCTCATAAATATGTGACAGTTGAAATAATCCGTTAATCCTAAAGAACAAAATTATATAATGAACATTTAATTATTACTTCGTGCAATTGAATTATTGTCTTTCTTTTCTGTAGGTGGCCTTATTGGATATTTATATGTCTTCTACTGATTTTTATCACTTAGGAGACCATTTACAATATATATTTACATAATACAATTTAACTGATAGAACATTATAGTTCTTCATCAAAGCATATTATAAATAGTAAGAAGATTAAATGATGAAGAAATCTAGGTTCCTTCAATGTCTATGTTTTATTATGTTTAATGTCCATATTTATTATTTATCATTTATCATTTATTATTTGTTATTTAATGTTTTATGAATTTTTTATTCAAATTTTAAGATATTTTTAGTATATTAATTGTTGAAAATATGTAAGGAAAGATTAATTTTTCTTAACATATTCAAATATTTACATATCTCCCCTTAAATATGAAATGTTGCATTTTCGAAAAAATCAGTATATTGATCTAAACGATAGATCAATATAGCGAGGACTAATTAAGACGTTCACAGGTTTCTATGTACCATTAGGCATTCTCTGATCGTGCAATAACATTGTTATTGCGACCTCTGCAAAACACCTTCATCGATCGCCGCCGCTAGTTCTCGGATGTGGTCTCTTAATTAGGTCAAAACTTGGTATTTGGTTGAACTCGAAACTTTTCTTCGAGTGGGGGAAAATGTTTTTGCGATCTGGAAAACTAGGCAAGTTTCAACAGTTTGCATAAATGATCACTTATTCTTTAACTATATATATAAACTGTTGACGTAACCATACGCTTTGCGTAGAAATTATATTACTGAAAATATCTGCTAGTAAAAAAATTGATTAATTAAGGTATATTACGTGTAATAAATTTCGTTGACCAAAATATATTATTTAATTTTATCAGATAATTATTTGAATACTCTATAAACGGTTATCTCATTTTAAATTATAGTCTGTACCATAATGTATTACAAGTCTATAGAGATTTCTGTCGAAATAAATTTGTTTATAATGTCATTATTTGCACTTTGATATTTATGTTGTAACTTATAAATTACTCGATAGCCTTTTCCTTCGTTTACATAAGCATGTTAATAAATTGTTCATTTTAGATAAAAATTGTATCTTTGGGGGTTATAA